TCTTTCATGTGGTGTTGGATTTGGTTTGCTCACATTTTATTGAGTGTTTTTGCATTAATATTCGTCAAAGATACTGATTGTCTTTTCTTGCATTATCTTTGGTTCTGATATCAAGGTGATGCTGGTGTCATGGAATGTGCTTGGAAATATTCCCTCTAGTTCTGCCTTTTGAAAAGTTTAGGGAGGATTGGTATTCCAATTTGTGTGGTAGCATTAAGCTATGAAGCCATCTGGTTTTGGGCTTTTCTTTGTTGGGATGTTTCTAATTACTACTTCAATCTCTTTCTGTTTATTTCATATCTATTTCTAAATTCAATCTGTTGTGGATATGTTGTTTCTGTCAAAGTATGTAAAGAACGTTTAGCTTTCCACAGATACATAACTAGGAAAGGGGGAGCTATTTTAATCACACTTGGAGAGAATTTGATATTATATAAAATCCAATAAGTGGTAGTTTGAGAGGTTCATTACAAGATGGAATCTGAAACCCCAACAGAGAATATTTGAGAATGTTCTATGTCTACTTTGAATGGGGTTTGAACCCATACATAATTTTGTAATATAAATTTGTTATTTGGAAAATAGTGTTCATTATATAAGATAAAAATAACATATTACCCCAAATCTCATCCACTATGCTAAAATTTTCCAGAATTACATCTTTGCTTGAATGTTTGAATTTTATCAATGGCAAATAAGTATTGTTAGTTTAAGTTTCACTTTAAAAATGTGTGCCAGTTAAGAATGATAGTCTCTGTTTTGGTTTTTTTTTTAACTATTTTATTTATTTATTTGCAAGTCAAAATTTCACAGAGAGAGGTGAGGCAGAGAGAGAAAGAGAGGTCTTCCATCTGATGGTTCACTCCCCTGAAGGCCACAACGGCCGGAGCTGTGCCAATCTGAAGCCAGGAGCCAGTAGCTTCTTCCAGGTCTTCCACATGAGTACAGAGGCCCAAGGATTTGGGCCATCTTTTACTGCTTTCCCAGGACATAGCAGAGAGCTGAATCGGAAGTGGAGCAGCTGGGTCTTGAACCAGTGCCCATATGAGATGCCGGTGCTTCAGGCCAGGGCATTAACCCACTGAACCATAGTGCCGGCCCCTGTTATTCTTTCAAGTAAAAATATTTCTTGAAGCAAGAGGGTAGGTCAATTCCCAACTTAAATAACATCACAAATGTTTTTCTTCATACATCTTTGTACTTCTTTTATTTATTTGACAGGCAGAGTGGACAGTGAGAGAGAGAGAGAGAGAGAAAGGTCTTCCTTTGCCGTTGGTTCACCCTCCAATGGCCGCTGCGGCCGGTGTGCTGCGGCTGGCGCATCGCGCTGATCCGAAGCCAGGAGCCAGGTGCTTCTCCTGGTCTCCCATGGGGTGCAGGGCCCAAGCACTTGGGCCATCCTCCACTGCACTCCCTGGCCACAACAGAGGGCTGGCCTGGAAGAGGGGCAACCGGGACAGAATCTGGAGTCCCGACCGGGACTAGAACCCGGTGTGCCGGCGCCACAGGCGGAGGATTAGCCTATTGTGCCGCCACGCTGGCCATCTTTGTACTTCTGTATACTGCACAAATGCTCTGTGTTTTTTCATTTCTTCTCATCAATATTAAAGGGAACTATTTGGACCTGGTGCTGTGGCATAGCAGGTAAAGCCGGCAGTGCCAGCATCCCATTTGGGCGCCGGTTCAAGTCCCGACTGCTCCACTTCTGTTCCAGCTCTCTGCTGTGTCCTGGGAGAGAAGTAGAAGATGGCCCAAATCCTTGGGCCTCTGTACCCATGTGGGAGACCTGGAAGAAGCTCCTGGCTTCAGATTGGCACAGCTCTTGCCATTGTGGCCTGTTGGGGAGTGAACCAGCAGATGGAAGACCTCTCTCCCTCCCTCTCTCTCTCTCTCTCTCTCTCTCTCTCTCTCTCTCTCTGCTTCTCCTTCTCTCACTGTGTAACTCTAACTTTCAAATAAATACATCTTAAAAAAAAATGAAGTATCCTTGCTGAACTAAATGTAGTATAATTACTAATTATTTTTTAAATGATTTATCTATTTGTTTGAAAGAGTGGGAGAGGGAAAGAGATCTTTCATTTGCTGGTTTACTCTCCAGGTGGCTGCAATGGCCAGGGCTGAGCCAAGCCAGAGCTAGAGCCAGGAATTTCATCTGGGTCTCCCATGTGGGTGGCAGGGGCCCAAGGACTTGGGTCATCTGCTGTTGCTTTCCCCAGGCCGTTAGCAGAGAGCTTGATAGGAAGTGGAGCAACCTTGACATGAACTGGCACCCCGAGGGGATGCTGGCATCTCAGGCAGTGGCTTTACCTGCTATGCCGTGATGCCAGCCCCCGAAATCTAATGTAATTAATAATTCTCATGTTATCCCAAGGCTCCTGTGGTTGCTGCTGTTTTCTTTTTTCCTTCTTTCTCTTTTACATTCAGTGATGGCTGTGGAGAATACAATGTCTACTATCAAGTTTTGTGCTACTGCCTTAATTTGTGCTGAGGTGCTCATCACTGATTTTCACATCATCAGTGCAAATGTCAGTAAAGCAGAGAAAAAACAGTGAGCAATGGAAAAGGCATATATTGTGTTGGTATTATGAAAGTATTTTTAACCTCATGAATGCCTGAAAGGGTCCTAGAGACCTCTGTATTTGCACGTTACACTCAGAACTGTGATTGTAGGCTTAAAACGACTACACATAAACTGTAATCCACTTTTGAGAGAGAAGTGGGATTCTGTGATTACTTGAGAATGACAGGTGTCAACGAGGTCTGTCCTGTGCCAGCTTGCGTGTGTAGTCACCCTGTGCTCACCTCATCTCTAAGGGGCTTCAAGACAGCTTCTGCTGTGTGGTTCTCCGTCACTGCGGGAGGCAGGCAAGGGCGGACCAGGCACACTGAGGCTTTGTTTTGGCTTTTTATCCTTGAGCATCAAGACTCCTGCACTGTTGGTAAAAACAGGATTTCCAGATCATATGCTAAGTTCTTAAAATCTGTTAGATTTCAGCATTGTTTTTGGTTCTGTAGTTGAGTACAGGGTTCCATTTCTTCAGTTTGATTTTCAGGAGATAACTGCATGCTAATGAATCTCACAAAGAAGAAATAGGCCAGTTTTTATGTGTGTTGAATCATATAACTCACATTAAGATTTGGAATGGTTCAGAGGAGGAGGAAGAATTGTGAAACTATTAATGACACAGTGTATCAAAGGATTTTTGATGGTGGATGGGGAAAATACACTTAAGAATTTGAATGTTATGATACCATATCACCATGTTATGTCTTAAATTGTGTGTGGGATTGAATTTTTGTTATACTATGAAATTTACAGTTTGTGAAATTTAATACTTCTAGAATATAATACATAAAGACCAAAATTGACACTTTTAGTTTTAGCAAAAAGCACTTATTCAGTTAAAACTTGGTTGGTTATTAAAGCTATCTTAAATATAAAAATGTTTCAGACACATTTAATGGTATAGGTGTATAATGTGAACATACAGAAATGGCGCATTACACATAAAAATGTAACTTGTTTAGTATGGAAAACAGGAGCTGCATGAAACTTCACTATAAAACTGTTAGTTGAGTGCTTTTATTCTGATGTCTATACGGAAACTTTAAAACCTCTCTTATAGCTCTGTTAGTTTTTTTTTTTTAAGACAGAATTATCCTTTGAGATTTATTGTAAGGTATTTAAAGGAGGAGGATTGTTGCTATTTTTCCTCAAGAAATTCTTTTAATTGCTTGAGACAGTGTGCTAACAGATTTTTGTTTCCTCTCAGGCTATGGCTTAAGCTGTAGCAGCTTAAGCTTTGCTCACTTTAGCTAATTAAGACTAATACCATTGTGTTCCTGCCACTCCACTTCTTTCTAATTTAGCTTTTCTAAAAGAATGTCGGTTAATAGGCAAAGCCACAGATGAACAGGGGATAAAAATAATTCTGTGCTTCATTAACCATCAATCTGCAGCCTCACTTCTGTTGTCTTAACATAGAAAGAATGATTGGTTTAAAAATTTGCTCTTCTGAGCTGTTTGTTGTGTATGATGAAACTCTTCCAGCCTCAGAAATTGATCTTTAGGGCAATTTCCCCTAATGCAGTATGTGAAAAACAGGCCGCAATAAACATTACATTAAAACATGTCTGCATAAACATGCTGGAAAGTTCTTGGTTTTGTTAAAGAAAAGAGAAAATAATATCCTGACAGTCACGTTTAGCTAGGTAAGGTTAACCTGTAGCATGTAAGGTTTATGGTTGCATAGCTCAACTTGTACTATAATTATTCTTCTTCGTACTTATTGTTTAAATGAAAGCTTATCATCACAACCACTTTGTCAACCTTTTAGATGTATTATAAATGTAGGGACAGTTAGCATACAAAATTGGCAGATAATAAAAATGATGGATGGCATTGTACCTTTAATACAGGTTGAATTGGTGTTCTCCTGAAAATTTGTTCTCCTATATTTTTCTTAGTAGTTACACTTTTTTCATTGCAGACACTTTAGGAAACATGTTCTTATTCATTTGTTCCTGAAACTATGTAGTCGTGTTTGCTTACTTGGACAAAGTATTGTAAATAACTCTTCATGAAATGAATGAATTGAAATTTATTTTGAACCTGTATAATTCAGAATTCTTTATATTCTATATTTGCTCAGTAGTAAAGTCTCTTATACGTGTGCCACTTTAACAAATATTTTTCCCTAATGAAAATTTATAATGGAGATTGTGTTACTTTGACTTTCTAAAGACCATCTGTATATTCTGTGGATTTCTAAAGTGATGTTTTAGTTAGATACTGAAAATATTTTAGATGTGAAGTCTTTAATATTGTTGGAAAAATGGAATTAAATACTCTTTTTCCTCAGCTGGAATCAGGGAATTTAGAATTTACAGTGATCCAACATGTTAGTGATATAAAATATTTTTGACAATAAGACATACTTAGCAATTTTATTAAATTGGTAAATTCTAATCAATGTTTAATAATTTTGTTTTCTATGCAGCATCATTAGTTATTCCTACTGGTAGAACTCTTCCAAGTTTTACCGCAGCGGAACTGGTATGTAACTTATTTAAAAAATACTTTTAAATATATGTCCCATGTTTGGAATGGTGGCAGAATGCTGGGCATAGATGGAATTCATATTCCATCTTCTGGATGGGAAAAGGTGTGGTAAGAAGTGGGGGAGACATTAATTTCTGTAACAGAGCAAAAACTTAGACGTTTCAGGATTGGTGTTTTCTGAGCAGCTTTTCCTGTCTCCTGGAGCAGTTAGTGTCTGCTGAGACGGACCTGCAGGGTTAGGTTTTCATACACTGTAACGTGTTCTACATGTGGATTTTAAGTAGACAATTTTGATAAGCTATCTTTTTCCCTCTCAGCGTTGAACAGCATCAGAGTTTTTCCTTTCATTTAAGTGGACTGATTTGGTTATTTTCAATCTTTGTGAACAGAGTTTGTTTATTTTTTGTATTTAGGAACTTGGAGGCAGGGAATACAGTTACAACTTATATAAAGAAAATTATGTAGTTTTTCAGGTGGGGAAGGGTACAGTTTTTCAAATTTGCCTTTCTTGCTTGGTAATGTTTTACATAATCCATTAACGTTGTTTTTAATTTTCTTCAGCCTGTGGGCTAACTTTCTAGGGTAAAAGCTTTTTTTTTTTTTTTAGTAAAGATTTTATTATTACTTTTTATCTGTTTGAAAGGTGGAGTTACTGACAGAGAGACAGAAAGGTGTTCCGTCTGTGGTTCACTCCCCAATGGCTGCAGTGGCTAGAGCTGAGCCGATCTGAAGCCAGGAGCAGAAGCTTCTTCCAGGTCTCCCACGTGGGTGCAGGGGCCCAAGCACTTGGGCCATCTTCCACTGCTTTCCCAGGTCATAGCAGAGAGCTGGATCAGAAGAGGAGCAGCCGGGACTAGAATTGATGCCCATATGGGATGCCGACACTGCAGGTGGAGGATTAACTTGCTGCCCCATAGCGTTGGCCCCAAGGGTAAAAGGTTTTGTGGGCTACCAATTTCCTTTTATTCATTAAGAACAAAAAAACTATGTCTTTCATGGGGGCTTTTGGAAAGAATGGTTGCTATTTTTGATAGGAGACCAATGAAGAAATATCTTTGTCCTTGAAATTCATGGAAATATCTTTTTTTCCTGATTAGAGAAATAATATGATTATAAAAATTAAAAATAGGGGCTGGCATTGTGGCATGATTGATAAGGCCACCGCCTGCAGGGCTGGCATCCAATATGGACACTAGTTCTAGTCCTGGCTGCTCCACTTCTGATCCAGCTTTCTGCTGTGGCCTGGAAAAAGCAATAGAATATGGCCTAAGTCCTTGGGCCCCTGCACCCACATGGGAGACTTGGAAGATACTTTTGGTTCCTGGCTTCGGATAGGCCTCGCTTCAGCTGTTGTGGCCATTTGGAGAGCGAACTAGTGAAAGAAGACCTGTCTCTCTATCTCTGCCTCTCTGTAACTCGCCTTTCAAATAAATAAATAAATCTTTTTATTTAAAAAAAATTCCATAGAGTAAAATATTAAAGTCATCTGAAGTCTTATACCCAAAAAATAATTATTCTAACTATTTGGTGTATATCTACCTGAACTTTTTTCATGAATGCTTCATTACTTTTCAAGGTAAAAAGTAAATTACTTTTTATTTTAACTGTCTCTTAACATGTTTAAAATTTTTTAAAATTAATTTTCATTTGAAAGAGAGCCAGAGCCAGAGGTAAACACAGAGATTTTCCATATGCTAGTTCACATCCCAAATTCCCACGATAGCCACGACTGGGCAAGGATGAAGCAAGGAGCCCAGAACTCTGCCTGTGTCCCTCCCAGTGGTGACAGGGACCCAAGTTCTTGAGCCATCATCTGCTGTCTCCCAGGATGTGCATTAGCAGGAAGCTAGATCAGAAGTGGAGTAGCTGGAGCTCAAACCAGATGCTACAGTATGGGATGTGGGTGTCTCAAAAGGTATTTAACTGCTATGCCAAATTGCCAGATCACTTCCCTGTCATTTTTCTTTCTTCAATTTTTTTAAAGATTTATTTATTTGAGAGACAGAGAGGTCTTCCATCTGCTGGTTCACTTCCCAAGTGGCCACAACTGCCAGAGCTGAGCCGACCTGAAGCCAGGAACCAGGAGCTTCTTCTGGGTCTTTCATATGGGTGCAGGGACCCAAGCACTTGGGCTGTCTTCCACTACTTTCCCAGGCTACAGCAGAGAGCTGGATTGGAAGAGGAGCCACTGGGACTTGAACCAGTGCCCATATAGATGCTGATGTCACAGGAGGAGACTTAGCCTACTAAGCCACAGTGCCGGCCCCCTTTTTTTGGTTTTAATTTAGACAATATAGATGGATTCCACAGGTTAATCTACTGCGTTTTTGTTGGTAGATATTTAAATTGTTTGCTTTTCCCCCCTAAAATAGCATTCCATTAATTATCTTTGTATATATTTTATTGTATGATAATCAGGTACATTATTAAAGGTGGAGTCTGAGGTCATGGATGTTTTTAGTTTTGTTATATGTTGCAAAAATTTTCCTCCAAATAGTGTGCCAGTTTACACATCATAAGGAGTGGTCTGAGAGAATCAGTTTTACCTTATTGTCACCAACACTGGGTGTTATTTAAAATAACACCAGCCTTTAAAATACTTGCGGATCTGATAAAGTAAAAATGTTTCCTTCTGATTTTTTTTTTATTTTAAAACCTCATGGTTTAATTATTTCCAATGAAAATTATACACTGTCACATTATCCACTTAAAATATCTTTAGTGAATCCACTTAGAGGTTGGAGGGCCCTTATACATAGCTGTAGTTCTTATATTTGACACTTTGAGAATAAAAGTACCAGAGATACGTGTTGGATAAGTTTGAGCCAGTGTTCATACTTTTTGTTAAGACTTGCTGGCTTGGCTGGCACTGCGGCTCACTAGGCTAATCCTCTGCCTGCGGTGCTGGTACACCAGGTTCTAGTCCCGGTCGGGGTGCTGGATTCTGTCCCAGTCGCTCCTCTTCCAGGCCAGCTCTCTGCTGTGGCCCAGGAGTGCAGTGGAGGATGGCCCAAGTCCTTGGGTCCTGCACCCACATGGGAGACCAGGAGAAGCACCTGGCTCCTGGCTTTGGATCAGCGTGGTACGCCAGCCGCAGCGCCCATTGAGGGGTGAACCAATGGAAAAAGGAAGACCTTTCTCTCTGTGTGTGTCTCTCTCTCTCTCACTGTCTACTCTGCCTGACCAAAAACAAAACAAAACAAAACAAACAAAAAAAAACTTGCTGGCTTTGAGCTGGTGTTGTGGTATAGTGAGTTAAGCTACCTCTTAAGATAATGGCATCCCGTATTTGAATGCTGGTCCGAGTGTTGTCTACTCTGTTTCTGATCCAGCTCCCTGCTAATGTGAGTAGGAAGGCAGGGAAAGATGGCCAAAGTAACTGGGCTCCTGCCACCCATCTGGAAGACCAGAATGTAATTCCTGGCTCTTGGCTTTGGCCTGCCTCAGCTGGTGGAAGATCTTTCTCTTTCTATCCCCTTCTCTTCTTTACTCCCTTATACTCTGTCACTTTGCTTTTCAAATAAATCTTTTTTTTTTCTTTTAAAAGACTTACTGGATTCTCGACTAATACTTGTAGAACAGAGTTCCTCTTGATCTTAATGATGATCCAAATCAAATATTAAAAAGCTGTTTCATTCCAAGAACTGAGCCCTCATATTAAATCTTTGGTTTGTCAAACTGTTTTCCTGTTGTCTGGAATCAGATGTTTTGAGCCCTTTTGATATCGGGGTAAACACATCTGAGTAGAGAGACTTTTCCTAATACTTCTAATATAAATTGCTTTTATTTAGGGCACCTCAAATTGCAATGCAAACCTGACTTTTCCTGGTTATCCTATTCATGTGCCAGCAGGTGTGACGCTACAGACTGCATCTGGTAAGAATACATCCTAGGAATATTTTGCTTTTAGCATTGATGCTAACTTGTAGACATTGAGAAACTTGATTTTTAATAAATGTGCCAGAAGTTTAGAACTTTTAGTAAAACCAATTTAAAAGTAAGAATTGGTGGTAGTTATTACTGCTGTCAAGGCAGTCTATCACAAAATCCGTTGTACTAGGCCTGCCCTGTATTTTATTTCCAGTTCTTCCCCAACATTATATAAGGTGCTCTGTATATATTTACTTATATCTTCTATAATTTTAAATAAGCTACCTAAATTTTAGCCAATGCGACATGACGTATCTGTGCGCCTGCTAGCTCTAAGCAAGAAGAAAGGTAGCCGGCGCCGCAGCTCACTAGGCTAATCCTCTGCCTTGCGGCGCCGGCACACTGGGTTCTAGTCCCAGTCGGGGCGCCGGATTCTGTCCCGGTTGCCCCTCTTCCAGGCCAGCTCTCTGCTGTGGCCAGGGAAGTGCAGTGGAGGATGGCCCAAGTGCTTGGGCCCTGCACCCCATGGGAGACCAGGATAAGTACCTGGCTCCTGCCATTGGATCAGCGCGGTGCGCCGGCTGCAGCGCACCGGCAGCAGTGGCCATTGGAGGGTGAACCAACGGCAAAGGAAGACCTCTCTCTCTTTCTCTCTCACTGTCCACTCTGCCTGTCAAAAAAAAAAAAAAAAAAGAAGAAGAAGAAAGGTAAAGGTTAGGTTGATCAATCTGTGCTTCCTTTCTGTCTGGCGGTTACAAGGCCTACTAGGAAGGACACCAGAAAGTTTGGAGGTTAAGCAACCCGTGCTTTTCAGCACTGTCTTTTGAGTTGAAAGAGTATCGCACCTAATTTTGGGTTGTTGAAAAGACCGAGTAAAAGAGCAAACTCGGTGCTCAAAGAAAAATTCCTTTTTCTCCTTTTCAGAATTGTTTTAGAAGAATTTTGTTAAGTTTTGAAATTATGAAATTCTTTTTTATAACCTTGTCTTTAGTTGCTGTATTATCTCTTAAATATTTCAGATACAGTCTACATGATGATGTTTTTTAAAATCTCCTTTGGGGTTGATAACAATTTATCAAACCATGAGAAAAGTTCATGGATAAATATCGGTGTATCTCAAGATCATGTATCTCAGGATGTGCCATATAAGCATTCGTGGGAAAAATGCTAGACATAAAACAGGTGCCCTTAACAAAATCAAGAGTAGGACACATTTATTGTAGAAAACACAAAGAAATCTGAACAATAAAAGAAAAACACCTGGAGTAACATTGGTGAGATTGTTTTTCGAAGGAGGTTAGAGTTCTATTGTACTTAGTTTACGTTTCTGCTCTTGTTAGGTCACCTTTATAAAGTCAGTGTACCGATTGTGGTGACACAGACCTCGGGAAGGACAGGTGTGCTTCAGCATCCAATCCAGCAAGTACTGCAGCCTGGGCAGCCCTCGGTAATACCCACCAGTGTTCCGCCCCTGAGCCCATGCACTCTTCAGGCAACTACTGAGAACTCACAGCGAGTGGAGACTGTGCTGCAACAACCTACGCTTCTGTGTTCTGCCCCTGGGAGGAGGAAGCACTTAGAAACTGGCACCAGTGATGTGGTTGTGCCTCCTGCAACTGAGCGTACAGTTACGTCTGAAGCTTTGCGGAGTCAGCAGGGGAGCTCTCTGTGCAGCCATCTTCCAGGTGGTGCTTTTCCCTCGCACGTCTTGGAGACAGATTCTACTGTGGATTCAGGGCTGCGTGTTTCAACCAGCATGACTCAAAATCTGCGTGGTGGGCCCCTCTCCACAAGCCCTCAGGGGGCTTCCCGCCAGCATGGTGACGCTCAGCTTCACATTCTTAAAAACAAGATGTATGGATGTGATTCAGCAAAGCAACCAAGAAATACAGAGGAACCCTGCAGTCTGCCTGTCTCAGAGAAGGTATAGTTCACTGTCCAGCTTTTTGGTTGGGGAACAGTGGCCAGTGATGGGCATCCTGAGTTTTTTAAAAAGCTTTGAGTTTAGTCAGAATGATATGTTTTGTTTTTTCCTCTAAAAGATAATTTCTTTATTATTGTTTTAAATATAACTGTCAGTTCTTTTATTTTTTAAAACAAGTTAATTAATTTGAAAGAGAGAGAGAGAGAGAAATATTGCTCTTAGATCCATTGGTTCACTTCCCAAATGGCTGCAATAGGTAGGGATGGGCCTGGAGACTGGAGCTCCATCCAGGTCTCCCATGTGGATGCAGGGGCCCAAGCCCTTGGGCTGTCTTCCTCTGCTTTCCCAGACACATTAGAAGTGGAGCAGCTAGAACTCCAACCAGTGCTTACAAGGGATGCTTGCATAGCAAATGGTAGCTTAACCTGTGGCACCACAGCGGCAGCCCCTAGCCCTCAGAGGGTGGGTTACGGGTAGGGAGAGAGAGAGATAGACAGATGAATAGCCAGATATATCTTCTACCTGGTTCACTACTCAAATGGCCAGGTCTGGCTCAGGCCAAAGCCAGGAGCCTGGAACTCCACACAGGTTTCCTATGAGTGGCAGGGGTCCAAGTATTTGTTCTATGAACTTAAAAAAAAAAAAAAACAACATTATTTGAGAGACAGACAATGCTTTCATTTACTGATATGTCCCCTAAATGCCTGTAGTGGCCAGGGGTGGGCTGGAGACAAAGCTTGGCTCTAGGATGCAATCCAGATCCACCATTTCACTGGCAGGAACCCAATTACTTGAACCACCACTACTGCCACTCAGGGTCTGCATTGGCAGGGAGCTGGAGTCAGGAAGTGGAGCTGGGGAAAGAACTCAGGTACTGTGATATGGGACACAGGCATCTTAACCACTAGGATAAATGCTTTACCCTCTGTGAACTTTTGAAGCCCCTTGTATGTATGGATTTCAAAATTGTTGCACAGGGGCTAGCACTGTAATGCAGTGGGTTAAACCGCTACCTGTGCTGTCAGCATCCCATATGGTTGCTGTACAAGTCCCAGTTGCTCCACTTTCAATCCAATTCCCTGCTAATGAGCAAGGGAGGGCAGTGTTACATGGCTCAAGTCCTCGGGTCCCTGCCATTCACATGGGAGAGCAGGATGGAGTTCCTGGCTTTGCAGCCATTGTGGGAGTGAACCAGCAGATGGAAGATTGGTCTCTCTGTCTTTGTTTAACTCTGCATTTCAAACAAATCTTTTAAAACAACTGATGCACAAAAATAACTTTTAATTCCATTTTCACAAATTATTTGAAGTACTCTGTATATAAAATTTTGAAAATAAATGTAGGGTAAAGTAATTATGAAATATTTGGTTTGAGGTAAAAGAACTAAATTTAAAATGTATGTGTTTTCATCACTTACTACTTTTAGAGGCATTTTTATCTTGGATTCTGTATGAACTTGGCTTATTTTGGGTGTGATGAGTCAAGGTCTACTGTTACTTGGTAGATGTCATCATGTACTTCTTCTGATATGAGAAAATATATTAGTTAAGGGACATTAATCAAGGATTCTTTAGAAAGTGGTTTAGAGCTTGAGCTTTGAAACCACAACAGGTTCAAATTCCAGATTAACTATTTATAAGCAAGCATGTAGCATTAGTATCTAAAATACACTGAAATTGAGTGGGCTGGTCATAGTACCAACTTTGTAAGTTTCAGAATTGTTAGAGACAATGTTTCTGGCACCATAGTAAGCCTTAGATTAGTGCTATTATGCATTGTGAGCTTGTTATACATTGGGTGACTTTTCTTACAACTGATTTGTGGGTTTTAAAATAGGTATATGTCTAAAACATAAACATGTAAACATTAAGAACATTTACTTTATAAAATATCTTTTTATTTTAGGATACCTTTAAAGTAGTCAGCAATCTGGTATGCTTATGCTGATCTTACTTTCAAAATTTATGGAGAGTTTTTTATAGTTTAAAGCAAATTGTATTTAGCTAATACTTGTTTATTTTCCTGTGTTGTAGATCACCAGAGATCTGAAGCATCTGTGCAGGTTTAGCATTCTTATCATGCTTACTATTTTATAAAATATACGCCTGACAACATTTGATTCAGCCTCTTATAACTTCTGTTTCCTGTCTACATGAATTTGACTATTCTAGTACCTTAATAGAGTCATAATTTGTCCTTTTGTGACTGGCTTATTTCTTTTGGAATGATAGTTTCAAGTTTCATCCATGTTGTAGTATGTGTCAGAATTTCACTCCTTTTTAATGCTGAATTGTGTGACTTTGATAATTTCTAAAATTTATTATTTTAGTTGAGATTTTTAATATTGATAAATGTTAAATTGGTAGCACAAGTACCCAATCAGAAAGAATATGGAAGACATGAAAATCATTATTAAACAACTCGATTCACTAGGAATTTAGAGAACATTCTACCCAACTACAAAATATACATGTTGTTTTTTATAAATGTTTATAGACTGACAGAGGAGGGACAAAGAAAAAGATCTTTCACCTGCTAGTTCACTCCCTAGATGGCCACAACAGCTGGGGTTGGACCAGAATGAAGCCAGTAGTCTGGAACTCCATTCAGGTTTCCCACATGGGTGGCAGGAGTACTTAGAATTTAAAATGTGTAGATATTTCTAGAATCTATTCCCTTTTTTCCCTCCCTGCTGTTGTTGCTCTAATTGTCTTTCATGTAGGCTAACACAACAATTTCCTACGTTGTCAGCCTGTGGGCCTCTGCTGTTTCTTATTCCACTCCCCGTCCATCCATCCTAGAGGTTAAAGGCCCAGGCTTCAAGGATCAGGATTATTTTGAATCCTTGCTCCATCCCCTTTGTAACCATGTGACTTGGGCGAATTATGCATTTGTAAAATAAAGATAATGGTGATTACCATAGCCTGGTGGTGGTGGTAGGGGATTAGTCAAGGCAATGGTGAGCACTCAGTGTGTGTTTGCTGTTTTCTCTCTTGCTTGTGGCTTCCAGAGGTCTGTCCAAAGGCAGCCTGACTGTGTCTTTCCTCTGCCTGACACATTCCTGACTTCCAGTCACCTACAGGATGAATAAAGTTCAAGCTCCTGATGAAAGGACCTCCCTGTTTGTTCCTCCTTCCTTGTATGCAGACTACTTTATTGGGAACGCTGTGTGGTGAGCGATTCTCTGTGTGGTTTCCTACATCTTTGTCTTTTTAGGAAAAAAATCCATTGTTCTTGATCCTTTCCTCTGGTTAATTCCTACTTATCCATTTATTATCTCCTCCAGAAAATTTCATTGCTTTTCTACTGTTACTTGATTGAGTGTGGCTCTTCTGTGTTGTTGTAGCACCTTAAATCTGAGTCTGTCCTAATGTAGTTAAAAGATATATTAAAATAAGTTTTTAAAGAATAGGATTTCTTATTAGGGTTTAATTTTTCCTCAGTAGTTATCAACCTTAGCTGAATATTGGGATCACTGGGGCATTAAAATAGTTCAAGTCTGCTCCTGGAGATTTAGATTTCATTCTTAAGGGGTAGGGTTCAGTCATCAGTATTTAAGAACTTCTGAGGTGACTTTAATTGTAGTCAATGTTAGGAACTACTGAGGTAGCTCAAATCAATAAGTAAAGGAGAAAAAGGAGAAAAACGCCAGGAGTGGGAGGGATACTAGGATATGTATAACTTCAAGTAAGAGTTTCATTTTTCTTCCAAATCTGTACTGTTATTTCTCCAAAAGATGTCATATCAGCAGTTATTTGAGTTTAGAATTCACTTAAATTGAAAGAAATTTTTGAGTCCCTAAATGCTAATTCTAAATTAATATCTCTAGATATTTTTATTTTTATATTAGATTTATTTTATTTATCTGAGGGGGAGAATTATAAAGAGAAGGAAGAAAGATTTTTCCATCTGCTGGTTCACTTCCCAAATTACTGTGATGGCCTGGGCTGGGACAGGCTGAAAACAGGAGCCTGGAGCTTTATCTGGGAATCCCAAGTAGGTGCAGGGGCCCATATAGTGGGCCATCTCCCACTGTTTCTCCAGGCACATTAGCAGGGAGCTGGATTGGAAGCAGGGTAGCCAGAGATTTGAACTGGTGCCCATATAGGATTCTGGCATTGCTGATGGCAGCTTAACCTGCTGTGCCACAATACTGGCACCTCCAGAGATTTTTACAGCAGGTATGTGACTTTTTCTTTAAAGAATAAAAGCAATTTGACAAATATTTTTTGCCTTTGTGAAAATACATTCAGGGACATTTCATGCCAGTAAGAGCAGAGAGGTCACTATATTACGAGGGAGAGATCTGGATTAAATTCCTAAGGATGAAAGAATATTTGACCTGTCATTATGATTGTAGGTCACTGAATTTGACATAGTTTAGGTTGGAAATGGGCAGAAAATGTGCATTATATCTTCCATTTCTCTTGTTTTATATTCATTGCCACCCTTGGATGCAAAGCCCTCTCAGTCCTTACTAGCTGTTGGAAAAATGTGATTCAATTTCAGCTTTCCTCTAATGATAGAAAAAGTTGGAAGGTGGATTTGAGAACAAAACTTTATGTTGAAGCATCCTATGTATTTGCTAATTCACTACCCAGCCACAGAAGCCACATAGAATTTCAGACATCTTGGCGAAGCAGAGAATCTGGGACATCACTGAGCCAAGTTGCTTTACAGCAGAGGAAGAAAATTGAAGCAGTGTCTGGAAGATGACATCATCTGCATTAGAACTGTTGACATTTTTTCACATTTGGTTGAAATTCATGGAAGAATCAATAGTGACTTTAACATTCAACAAGATAAAAATACTGATGCTTCGTAGGACTGCCAGTATCTGATTTTAATCTTTATTTGCACACTGACACCATCAAAGAATGCTGTTGTGAGCCCTTCCCACCTTCCTTTCTTTTGTAAACAGCAAATTGACATCTTTGTAATAAAAGATTTGTTTATTATTTGCTTAGCAAAATTTTGTCCTCTGTACACTGATGAAGCGG